ACTTCAGGAAAAGCTTATGAACAGCAATTGGGGCTGGCACTCTGGCACACGGTTTAAAGCCCCAGCCTGCAGTGCCATCATCCCACATGGGCACCAGTTTGAGTCCTGGCTGCTCCACTTCTAATCCAGCTTTCTGCTATGGCCTGGGAAAACAGTAGAGGATGGCCCAAGTCCTTGGGCACCAGCACCCATGTGGGAGACCCAGAAGAAGCTCCTGGCTCTGGATCGGCACAGCTCTGGCTATTGCAACCACCTGGGGGAGTGAACCAGCAGATGCAAGACCTCTCTCTCTGCCTTTCAAATAAATAAATAAATATTTTTTAAAAAATACATTCTAAAACATTTAGAGGTGAACTGACATGCCCTGTAAATCTTAAAAAGTTGTACAGATAGGGCCGGCGCCGAGGCTCACTAGGCTAATCCTCCGCCTAGCGGCGCCGGCACACCGGGTTCTAGTCCCGGTTGGGGCGCCGGATTCTGTCCCGGTTGCCCCTCTTCCAGGCCAGCTCTCTGCTGTGGCCAGGGAGTGCAGTGGAGGATGGCCCAGGTGCTTGGGCCCTGCACCCCATGGGAGACCAGGAAAAGCACCTGGCTCCTGGCTCCTGCCATCGGATCAGCGCGGTGCGCCGGCCGCAGCGCGCCGGCCGCGGCGGCCATTGGAGGGTGAACCAACGGCAAAGGAAGACCTTTCTCTCTGTCTCTCTCTCACTGTCCACTCTGCCTGTCAAAAAAAAAAAAAAAAAAAAAAAAAAAAGTTGTACAGGTAGAGAGAGATAAAGAGAAAGTGAGACACTTATAACAAATAGCACGTGCAGCTGCATGCTCAATGGTCGGAGTGTTTATTATATACTGTTCCTTCCATTTTTCTATAGGTTTGGAATTATTGAAAATTTAAAAAGAAAAAAAAAATCTACCTTGCACTATCTTGGACTTAAGAATTTACTGGGCAGATCTGAGTTCTCAGATGATGAAGAGGGTAACCAGATGGTTCAGACTTTCAGTATCTTTTCTCATTTACTCCTGAATAGCAAAGTAAATGTGACCCAATTTCTGGGAGACAGGTTAGTATTAATGAGGCATTTAGCAAGAGACTAATGAATACTATATATTCATAACTTGGAATCTGGAATCCTTAACAAGAGTCTTTAAAAAGGTAAGTGTAAAAAAACTTTGAAATTCACTCATACAAGAATTCTCTAAGGGGTTGGCACCACGCACAGCAGGTTAATTCTCCGCCTGTGGTGCTGAAATCCCATATGGGCACCAGTTCTAGTCCCAGCTGCTCCTCTTCCAATCCAGCTCTCTGCTGTGGCCTGGGAAAGCAGTGAGGGATGGCCCAGGTGCTTGGGCTTCTGCACCCACGTGGGAGACCAGGAAGAAGCACTTGGCTCCTGACTTCAGATCAGCATAGCTAACAGCCATCTGGGGAGTTAACCAATAGAAGGAAGACCTTTCTCTCTATCTCTCCCTCTGTTTGTAACTCTCTCAAATAAATAAATAAAACCTTTAAAAAAAAATTCTCTAAAACCTTCAAGAAAAATGTGTACTATCAAAAATATAAGAAAAGATAAATCTGTTTCAAATATCAATATGAATTAGATAGAGTATAGCTAAAATTGCACGGGTTATTTCCCATTTTCTCTGTTGCATTTGTACAAGAAGAGATCATTAACCAAGGTGAAGTTCTACGAAAGCCATAGCAGTAAGCACACTTCGTTTTGGCTCTCAGATAGGAGCTAGTTGCCACAGGCAGATCTAGAGACAGTTTCCTCAAAACTACGAGCAGTATTTATCACCAAATGGCAAAACAAAAGGATAACAAGGAAACACCAAATTTAGCCATTAGGAGCATCCCACACTGGAGTGCCAGTTCAAGTCCCACTGCTTCTGATCCAGCTTCCTGCTAATGCAACTGGGAAGGCAGAAAACGGCCCAAGTCCTTAGTATCCCTGTCACCATGGGGGACCAGGATGGAGTTCCTGGCTCCTGGCTTCTGCCTGACCCAGTCTGGCTCTTGCAGCCGTTAGGGGAGTAAGTAAATAAAATCACTGTCATTGTGCCTTTTGAATAAATAAATAAATCTTTTAAAGTATTATTGACTCATTCATTATCTATGCTTATTTATTTATTTATTTATTTGAAAGGCAGAGTTACAGAGAGGCAGAGACAGAGAGATCTTCCATCCGCTGGTTTACTCCTCAAATGACCACAGTGGGTGAAACTGGGCCAATCCAAAGCCAGGAGCCAGGAGCTTCTTCCCAGTCTACCATGCAGGTGCAGGAGCCCAAGGACTTGGGTGATCTTCTACTGCTTTCCCAGGCCATAGCAGAGAGCTGGATCAAAGTGGAGCAGCTGGGTCTCAAATTGGTGTGCATATCAGATGCTGGTATGCACCTAGCAGCTTTAGCCACTATGCCACAGCACTAGCCCTATCTATGCATTTATTAAAGGCAACTTTGTATCCAGTACTGTGGATACTAAAATGAATTAAGATACAGACTGTCCCTCAGGAAGTTCACAGTGAAACTCAAACAAGCAAACTGCTAACCCGAAAGAGCACAATGAGTTGAGAGTTGATGTTTCCAGAGGTCCAAGGTCAATGAGCAAGAAGCTATGAAAGACTAGCAACATAAAACCCAAGGCAGATGAGATGATGTGGTGAGCATATCTTCCATCAGTACATCTGAAACCCAACTGCAGACTAACAAAACACCTCTAAGCTCACAGCAGCTTTACACAATGGTGTTCATTCAGATATATTAAAATTAAAACAAAGAAACATGAGTTTAAGCACTTATTAAAGCATGGACTATGCCAAGAATACTGTCTCAAACCAAGTTACAAAGACAAATAAAATTCAGTTGCTATCCTCAAAGTACTCATAGAAGAAAAACAATTCTCCTCCCTCTTTTTTTTTTTTTTTTTTTTTAATTTATTTTTTTTTTTTTTATTTTTTGACAGGCAGAGTGGACAGTGAGAGAGAGAGACAGAGAGAAAGGTCTTCCTTTTGCCGTTGGTTCACCCTCCAATGGCCGCCGCGGCCGGCGCGCTGCGGCCGGCGCACCGCGCTGATCCGATGGCAGGAGCCAGGAGCCAGGTGCTTTTCCTGGTCTCCCATGGGGTGCAGGGCCCAAGCACCTGGGCCATCCTCCACTGCACTCCCTGGCCACAGCAGAGAGCTGGCCTGGAAGAGGGGCAACCGGGACAGAATCCGGCGCCCCGACCGGGACTAGAACCCGGTGTGCCGGCGCCGCTAGGCGGAGGATTAGCCTATTGAGCCACGGCGCCAGCTAATTCTCCTCCCTCTTAAAAACAGACAGGAATGTTTTAATATGCATAGCATGTGGGAGCCGTACTGTAGCAGGTAAAGCTGCCGCCTACAGTGCCGGCAACCATATGGGCGCCAGTTCACGTCCTGGCTGCTCCACTTCCGATCCAGCTCTCTGCTATGGCCTGGGAAAGCAGCAGAAGATGGCCCACGTCCTTGGACCGCTGAACCCATGTGGGAGACCAAGAAGCTCCTGGCTCCTGACCTCAGATCAGCACAGCTCTGGCCGTTACAGCCAAATGGGAAGTGAACCAGTAGATGGAAGATCTCTCTCTCTCTCTGCCTCTCCTCTCTCTGTAACTCTTTCAAATAAATAAATAAATCTTTAAAAAAATATACATAGCATGTACAATTGTAAACATATTACTATGTTATTTATTACAATATATAATTGGAAAATGCCATGAATAGGCAGTTAAAAGAGGAAGAACCCAAGAATGCCATACAGATGACCATTTACTAAGGACTAACTCAACGCCAGGGATGTACACAGTACCATAAAAGGGGTAAAATCCACACCAGGTTACAAAGTTAGGTTCTGAACCCAGGTGCTTTGTGTCTCCCAAGGCTCAATACAAAAGGCAACATGGAGAGATAGAGAGAAAAAAAAGTGCAAACAATTAGAAAAATAGAAAACAGCAGAGATATCTGAACCTAAGACATTTATGCACACATAAGGAACAGGTTTTATGACTGCGGGTTATATAGCTGGTATTTGCTAAAGCAGTTAATTAATTTTGAATAGTCTACCAAGAAAATAAAACAAAAAGGGGAAAAAAATCTGTATGAGGACCACTGCAATTTATAAATGCATTATGGAAGAATATAAGCTCAACATTAAATTTTCGGTTTCCCTACCATCAACAAATCATCTTATGTCTATATCAGGGGTTGGTAAACTACACCCTCAAGTCAAATTTGACTAGCCACCTATTTTTGTAAATGAAACAAATATTTGTAAATAAAATAAACATCTATTTATTGGAACACAATCTTTCCATTCATTTGCGTGTAGCCTCTGGCTGCTTTCCTGCTAGTGGCAGAGCTGAACAGTTACGACAGGCAGCAGTAGTCCCCAGAAATTAAAGTGCTGTTCTGACCCTTCACCGAGCTGTGCAGTCCCCTGGTCCAAATGACAGCCGTACGTATCATCAATGGCACAAAATAATTAGCCTATTCATTTTGGTCCTACTTAAGCTTTATTCTGAACTCCACCTGATTTTTTTCTTCCTTTGTAATTCGTGTTAATAAATATTCAATTTCTGAGTTTACACAAATGTAGAAATTCAACATAAAATGTTCACATTTCCATTATTTTCCTTGGAGTTCTTCTTTAAATACCCAGTAGTTTATCTTTCATAAACAAAATACTAATGAAGGCATACATGCAATTATCCCCACACATACGTATCTTTCAGCTGTATACAATCTACAAAGATACAGACAAGCAAAGCTAAACACAGAGCTAACAGTTATTATGACTTAGTAAATCCTAATGCCCAAATCACACTAGAACATCTCAAAGTGCCATCTTGGACTAACAACCCAAGTGTTACTCTACTGCTTATTAGAAATGTAAGTCCACGGGCCTCATTCCAGAATCACCTACAAGGTGATTCCTAAGCACACTTCAAGTTTGGGAACCAGTGTACTCAGGGTGAGTATTACTTACCTTGAGTGTGAAAAGGCTGATTCGGCCAGGTAGTTTATAGAACAGCCCCTCTCCTCCTCTTGAATTGGAATGTAGCATGGCATTGAGGCACGCAAGAGGGGATGTCCCACTGTAAAATACAACGGGATGGATGGCAGTTTATAAACCCGTATGCCTACTTAGTCTACAACCTAATCCCTCCAACACAACTGACAAGAAGCAGAGCAAGAAATGTAGAAGAAAAGATCTCACAAAAACAATTCCACTGTGAAAATAGTAAGAGTAACCAAACAAATCACACCCAAGAGGACTCTGGGATAAGATATGCTGCATAATACCCAAAATCCATACCTCACACTTTAGTGCTTTTTGTTAATATGAATGGAAGTCTCAAGAAATATAGAAAAGAGGTGTTTTCTAGTTATATTTCAATTTTAAATTGAATTTTAGTAAAATTTTATTGTTAACCAGAAAAAAAACTGAGTCTCTTGATCTCCACATTTCACCCTATATTCCACACACATAATCCGCCATAGAACATTATCGACACTAGGATCACAGAATCAATGACACTGTTCCAATAAAACAAGCACAGCTTTTTTCCCAGTTAAATATTTCCTAGTAAGCACACAAAAGGAGCAGCATTCTCACTTGCTGCTTCTCTTGTTCGGAGGGAGGGAGATGAGTGTTATTCTACATCTATACAGGAACAATCATTTAAATCTAAAAAGTCAGTCAAGTAGATTTAGTACCCAGCAATGCTTTAATGTTAATCTAAAAAGATGCTATATTGTTTCACAGCCACTGCCACAACTGTAGGGACTGTCTTGTGACAGTAAGTCACAAAATAATGACAATATAATGAGATACAGGTACTCACTGAATCTTAAAATAGAAAGGCTGTCAAATGTACTGACAAGTCCCTACTTAATATTAACTAGGTTTGGCACCAGCGTGGTAGTGCTAGCACTCACCTGGGCACTTTCTCTTCCTCTCACCACTGTTAGAAATACATAACTATCTTAAGTAAAGCCTCTTATTTTTTAAAACTAGAGGCCCTAATTTATGCAAGAGTGTTAAAAATAAACTGAGTCTAAAAAAGTCATTTAAAAAAACATATTACTTATTCTGCTTTGGAACACACTGGATGCTAAAAAAAATTTCACCAAGAACCAATCTTTACAAGAGCCCTTGTACAGACTCTGGAGTATCAGGTGGGTGTGCTAGCACCCCTGCTACAAGGGGGCGGCACGCAGGCAGAGTCCTCCTGTGACTCCTACACTGCGCCTCTGTCTACAAACCGCCATCGCGAGCAGCTTCATAACCACGAAGCAGGAACAAGCGATGGTTCTCAGCCCCAGCAGTCCCAAAGGCACAAAGTTACCTTCTATAAGCACAGTCCAACAGCAGGGCAGACAGCGGCAGGATGCAAAATAGCCCATAAAAACAAAAACAAAGCATAATTACAACGCCATACAGTGCATAGATACAAGTTAAATTTATACCCTCTAGACCATCTTAATCTTTGCCCCCCACAAAACACCAACTGGACAATGTCTGAACCGACAACTGAAAAGTGAGGCCCTTTTGACCTGGAAGGTCAATTCAAGCAGCTAAAGCTTGACTAGTAAAAACATACACTATTAATTCTCAGTCTCAAGAAGGGGCGATGGTGCTCCCCTCCATCCTCATTTAAAAACAAAACCAAAAAAGACCAGGGTGAGGGGGAGAAGAGACCATGAAAGATCCTCATTAGTTTCCATGTCTACAATGTCTGCTGGGTTTCTAACTTGTGGCTTCTCCATGAAAACTACACCATGAATTAAGGAAATCAAGGTTACCCCAAAATTAATATATTCATATCACGAACAGCTAAAAGCAGTGTGTGGTGGGGCACGTGCATTTTATGCTAATGAGACCAACCTTCTTTGATGCAGAAAGAAAGGACTTGTCAGAGGTGCAGCAGAGAAAGGAGTTTCAGCCCATCAGGGTCTGCCCCTACCCCACTCGCGAAACTTGCAGAACAGAGCTCAAGAGAAAAGCTGCCCCAACTCCTTGCACCAAAGAACAAGCTCTGGGTAGACACTGAGGGAAGGCAGGGACGGGGAGAGCCCTGCGCCCCTGATGAAATCAAATGGACGCTTTCCCACTCCCAGCCTCCACCAAGAGGGCACAGCCTGGCAGCTGGCAGCTCCCTGCCACTACCACACAGAGCACACACATGCACACGCGCACACACACATACACATACGTGGACTCACTCACAGCACCACACAACTATAAAGACACCTTCCTAGGAGACCTACGTGAAGCACCCAGAGCAATACAAACCTCATTTCCTTTAGTCCTTCTGCCTCTATGACCTGCAGAATCTGTTTTGGTGTCATTGGAGCGTCCGAGTAGTTTTCTAACACCTGAAGAAATACAAATGTCCTGATGTCAGTGTGCATTGCCATTTACATCGATCTACATTACGCTGTAAGATATCTCTAGTGACAATTTAATTTTTCTACAAAATTACCTCAGAAACAAAATTATCTCTATCTCTCCTGCTCTACCTTTCCAACAAAATAATACATCTTTTAAAAAGGGAGGGATCCCCAGGATGGTGGCAGTGACACCAGCATCCTACACAGTGCCAGTTCAAGTCCTGGCTGTTCCGCTTCCAATCCAGTTCCCCAGTGATGCACCTGGGAATACAGTGCAAGATGGTCCAAGGACTTGGGTCCCTGTCACCCACATGGGACATCTACTTGAATTTCCTGGCTCTTGGCTTTGGCCTGATACAACCATCTGGGGAATAAATCAGCAGACGAATTCATTCTCTCCCTCTCTCTCTCTGTTGTTCTTTCAAATAAAAAATGAGCCTTCAAAAAAAAAAAAAAAAAAAAGCAAAACAAATTATGCATTTATTCCATACTGAAAGCTACTGCATTAGCTGAAACAGCCTAATTCTCAATCCTCAAGATATACATATTATGGTATGTGACACCTTTGCAACCCTGACTACCAGCTAATGCGAGACCATAACTACAACTAAGTACCAAACACAGGGCGCTGTACAAGGTATAAGGCAACAGGGCATTCAGGCTTTCTTTCCCAGGGAAGCTGGACTAGGACCCATATTTTTATAGTACTTTTTGCCACTGAGTTGTAAAATTCTGGTGTTAACTGCCACAGTACATTTTGCCATTCAGCAATATGATACTATGAGTCTATGCAACTTGAAGGCAAAACCACGAGAAGAGGATGTCCCGTTTATGTCAGCAGCATCTCTAAGTCACAGCAGTATTTTCTTAGTGAGCACCTGCAGCTCTCTTACTTTAAAAAGCTATTTTAAAAATGTTACTCTGCTAAAGGAGTGAAGACAGTCTGACATCTTTGCACTCTCTCTACCTCTGCAGCTGCTTAAGTTACTCCACATCGAGACAACACCTCACAGTTAACTACCATGAACACCAACTCATCTGTCACTGATAAAATGTACAGCAAGGAGTCGGACCAGACAGTTAGGAAGGTACTCGCGATGGAAGGACACAAGCCCTTGGCACTAAAGGAAGTCAAGGTCTGGGGAAGCAGATAGCAAAATAAAACTCCTATTCTCCCCAGTCCAATTCTCAACCGCTCCAATTTTTCCATTATTCTTGAGTAATATCATCTACGATCTCTCGTAATTTCAACTACCGCCTAAGTTCAGATAACTCTCAAATCTTTTTTTTTTTTAATTTACTTATTTACTTGAAAGAGTTACACATACAAAGAAGAAGAGGTAGAGGTAGAGGAAGAGGTAGAAGTAGAAGTAGAGGTAGAGAGAGAGGTCTTCCATCTGCTGGTTCACTCCCCAGGTGGCCGCTAGGGCCCAAGCTTCACTGATAGGAAGCCAGAAGCCAGGAGCTTCTTCTGGGTCTCCCACACGGGTGCAGGGGCCCAAGGACTTGGGCCATCTTCCACTGCTTTCCCAGGCCACAGCAGAGAGCTGTATCGGAAGTAAAGCTGCCGGGACTCGAATCGGCACCCATATGGGATGCTGGCACTGCAGGTGGCAGTTTTACCCTCTACACCACAGCACCTGCCCCAACTCTCAAATCCTTACCTCTAGCCTTGACTTCTTCCAAAGCTTCAGATTCAAATATTCATTTTTTTTTTTTTTTAAGACTTATTTATTTGAGAAGTAGAGTTCCAGAAAGAGAGACAAGTCTTCCATCCACTGGTTCACTCCCTAGATGGCAGCAATGGCCAGAACCGGGCCGATCCAAAGTCAGGAGCTTCTTCTGAGTCTCCCATGCCAGTGCAGGGGCACAACCACCTGGGTCATTTTCCACTGCTTTCCCAAGCCATAAGCAGAGGGCTGAATGGGAAGCGGACACGAAATGACGCCCACATGGGATGCTGGGGCCGCAGATGGAGGCTTAAGTCTACCACGCCACAGTGCCAGCCCCTCAAGTATTCACTACTGCATTGGAAAACTCCCCTTGATTTTCTATTCTTTTCCTTTTTTAAAAGATTTTATTTATTTATTTGAGAAAGTTACAGATAGTGAGAGGGAGAGGCAGAGAGAGAGGGGTCTTCCTTCCATTGGTTCACTCCCCAAATGGCTGCAACAGCCGGAGCTGTGCCCATCTGAAGCCAGGAGCCAGGAGCTTGTTCTTGGTCTTCCCACATGGGTGCAGGGGCCCAAGGGATTGGGCCATCTTCTACTGCTTTCCCAGGCCATAGCAGAGAGCTGTATTAGAAGAGAAGCAGCCGGGATTCAAACTGGCGCTGATGTGGGATGCCGGCACTGCAGGCGGAGGATTAACCTACTGTGCCATGGCACCGGCCCCTGATTTTCTATTTTTAATTCATCTTGCCAGCAACTCTACTTCATCTTCCCTCCAGATCACTCTTCTTCATGAATTCCCTACCTTCCTAAATTTTCCATCTGATCACCTAATTTAGAAATACAGGCATCATGGAGCCATCACTGTGGCACAGTGGGTTAAGCCACCACTTACAATGCCGGCATCCAATACTACAGTGCTGGTTTGAGTCCCAGCTGCCCTGCTTCCAATCCAGCTCTTTGCTAACGTGCCTGGGAAAGCAGCAGAGGATGGCCCAAGTACGTGGACCCCTACATGGGAGGCCCAGATGGAGTCTGAGGCTCCTGGCTTTGGCTTGGCCCAGCCCCAACCATCACAGCCATTTGGGGGATGAACCTATGATGGAAGATCTGTCTGTCCTTCTCTGTCACTCCTTTAAAATAAATAAAACATATCTTTAACAAGAAAGAAAGAAATACAGGCATAATCCTTCACTTTCACCTGTACCCATCATACCTGACCCAATACAACAATCTCCTAATAGCCCTGCTTTCCTCAAATCCATTCCTACTCTGCTGTCAACCTTCATTCAACAAATACATGGAACACCTACTCTGCACAAGGCTTGATTCCAGGGGTCTGTAATAAACAAGACCAAATCCCTAGTCTCACGGAACACAGATGCGGCAGCCTGAGGTCACCCCAATAAAGCAAACATGCATTCATCAGTCTCCTAATTTAAAATCCTTTAACAGCTCCCCAGTCACAAAAAAACAGGTGCTAAAGTTTCCACAGTCCATGGGACCACGAGTAAAGCCCTAGCTTTAGACCTCAACAGGCCTGGATTCAAAATCTGGCCTTATAAACTAGGCCAAGTTATGCATCTAACCTGAGTCAAGGTTCCTGGTTTGTTTGGCATTTGGGGGGGCGGGGGGGGATATGAAATGCTTCATACTTCTGCATGCTCTCCTTGCACGGGGGCCACACTAGATCTTCCCCACATCATTCCACTAAAGTACCTTTATGCCTGAACACTGTTCCCATCCTCTCCCAGGTGTCTTCCAGATTAGAGACAACGTAACTAAATCCTACAGTACCTGGCACCAAGGAGGCATCCACTGGGCTGGAATCGCATCTCCTGCCTGTCTACCCGACTGCCTCACTGACTCCATTAACTGTGTGTTCCAGCAGCCACTTACTTGTGGTCCTACCCAACTCCCACACTTCACACATTCTCTTGCCATGCCTTGTCACTAGCTCCTGCTGATGCCTCCGTGAAAGGCCTAACTCCTACTTACCCTTCAAGACTCATCTCAGAAAGCACATTTCCTCCAGGAAGCCTTCCCTGATCTGCTAGGCTGAGTCACAGGTCTTCTCTTCAGAGACCTCGCTACCCTACCACACGTTAAGTATCTTCCAAACCAAGACCCTTGAAAGTGACAGGAGGAAGGAGTCATTTACTGGTCGCTAGGCAGGAGCAAGTACTGTCTACCACTCACACATCAGTGATAACGCTGCTCATATAAACTGCTGTTTGGATGTGTGGCCCTGTCTCCAAAAGAAGGTAAATTCTCAGGCAAACTGTATCCATCTCTTTCTTCCAAGAAGCTAGCTAAGTGCCAAGACTGGCAGTGCTGGCTTGAATAAACCTACAATAAACCGGCTATGAGCTACCAATGTTCCCTGTGACCAGAGAGCACTTCTTTGAAACTAATTAAGTGTGAGCTGAGCTTTCAAATTTTTGCAGAATAGTTTTTTTTTTCCCCAAGACTGAAAAATCAGCAACCAGTTATTTTAAACTGCAGTCAGGAAGAGCCTGAGAATCTAAGACAGACAGGAAACAAAATCTCTAAAGGGAAGTTACATCAAAAGATAGAAAGTATTCACTTTATTAAAACTGCATATGCCTCCAGCTTTCAGTAGGAGAACAATTCAACAGTGTTCTATTCCTGGCTTGTCTTGCTACACTGTACATTTTAAGAAAAGAAAAAAGTATCTCTTCTACTTCAAAGGGAAAAAATGTTTGATGTAAGAATGGTCAGTCATGAATCAAAGTGAAAGATAAAGCAGCAATGAAGAGTTCCTCAAAGCCAGGGAGAATCCATTTAAGGGGACTCTATTTAAAGGGAAATCCTCTCAGCTATTTCTCCCCAGTAAATTGGTCGTAATAAGCAGGGGGATTTATAACCATCCCACTACCCGAAGACTACTTCTTACACCTAGAAAAGGCAACAAATACTGAACGACAAAATGTCTGAAAGATCACCTCCTTCTCAATAAGATTAACATCTGCAGAAACCAATCTCCTGGGGGATACATTACTGAAATTCTCCACAATTTTTTCTTCTTATACCAAAACAGTTTTTAAAAAGGTTCCCAATATCACTCCCATCACCAACGGAGTGAGGTCAGGAGCAATGTGAAACTGCTCCAGGCAAATGCACATGATGCCTATCGCGCGTTCTTCAAATTCACTTGTCCAGAGAGCAGAGCAGTAACCGTTCCAGGGCTCTGATCACCTGCCGGCTGCGGCTTACCCCACTAGCAAGCAGTTCTGTCCTGGGCAAGCTCAGGACACTCTCCAGCACTGTTGCAGCTTTGCCTTTTTTTTTTTTTTTTAATAGAAGCCTAAAATTTTCCCACACCTCCCAAACAGTTCTATCAGAAGGGATGGAAAATTCTGAAACAAAAGAAAAAAAAAACACATAAAAGACCTGCAAAACTATACACTACACTCCTGCAAGTTCTGTTCCACCTAACTGCACTGCAGAGTGATTCCTATTCATATTACTACTTTTTAAATGCAAAGCCAAAGAAAAACAGCAATCACTTCTGAAGTTGAGCCAATGATAAAACAGAAACAGCAACCATGATACTTGAGTTCAGATCACAGTAAATGAAGAACCTAAGAGGTTTGACCAAACAGTGGATCTCAAGCTTTTGAAGTCTCTTAACTAGAAAGAGCCAACAGAGCTTTGAGACAAACAGACTTTAGAACTGTCAGGGCATAAACAACACAGGATTTAAAGGTACTTTCCCCAACCTCACAAGTAAAACTCTGGCAAGCAAATTTCCTTTGGGTGCCCAGAGCCATAAACACCCTCCTAACAGAACTCAAGTTTCAATGAACACTCAAAACTCAACCTGGAGGGAAAGAGAACACCTCCTTTGGGCTCCCTCCTCCCTTTGAGAGCTGATGCGTTTCCAGATGAAACAACACTGGAGAAATCCTGAAATTTCCAAGATTCTGAAAACAGCCATAGGTTCCAATTTCTATTGGCTCTGGAAAAATCATTTAAGAGCTCAACCCAAAACTGAAGTGCAGAACTTCGGCATCTACACACCTACTGTTTGTGTCCCTTGTGCCTTGCAGCCCAGGCAGGGTAACAGGAGCACCAGTGAAAATCCTCCTGTAGCCCAAACAGCTCCACTTCTGGTAAATCAATAACTGAGTTTTACAGACTCCCAGGAAAGAAAAAGGTGTTCTCTCGATTTCTATCAACCTCCAACGACGCACATTGTTATTTAATTATTGACGTGAGGCAGAAACTCACTTTCAGTAAGAAGATAAATTGGAAGGCTGGGTTTCACTCATTAAAAGTAAATTATGGCAATCAGGATAAACTACAGGTGTCAACAGCCACGTACCCTATCTGCGCCCAGACGGCACTCCGTGCCAGTTCCGGGGAAGTGACATCTCTAACTACTGTCATCTGCGAGACTCTGTAACATGTCTCCAGGCGTCTGGGCCTCGAGGGTGCAAATCCAAAAGGAAGACATTTCACTCGGAAGTCCCCCGACTGGAAATTCACAGCGCCCCTCCCCGGGCAGCTCCAGGACTCCCGTTACTCCCGCCTGTGCAGCATCTCCAAACAGGGACACCGCGTCTTTGTGCAACACCCATTCCCTGCAAAGTGCACTCAGGCTCGGCTAGGAGCCTCTGAAGACGCACGCTCCGGCCAGGGCTCCTCCAGCGGCCCGCGGCCCACCTGCCCGCAGTCCCCGGGAAGCCGCGCACGGGGAGATTCTCACGCTCCCGACACCTCCCCCGGGGCCGCTCAAGTTTGAGAACCAGCGCGCAGGGTTCGAGTACCGAGTGAAACCCTCGCTGGCCTCCACAAACCTGGCTTAGCCCAGGCGGGCTCACAATGCCACTGGCGTCCTTGAAACGGGGGGCATTTTCCGACCCCCGGACCCAACCACGCCAACCCCGCCTACCCCCCAGGAAGCGGAGGAGGGGCTTCTGCCCCTTCCCGAAACCTAACTCCCCCGGGCGAATTAACGGCGCTTCTTCCGCAGACCCCCAGACGCTGCCCGCGGTGGGGGAGGGGAGGCTGGGGCCCCGCCGCCCGGAGGGGGAGGAGCCGCCCGCCAGCTCGCCCCTCCGCAGGAATTCAGGGGGGGCGTGCAGAAAAAGGCGCCACAGCCCGTCCCGGCGGGGGACCGCTCCCCACCCGACGCCCGCACCGGGGGTGGGGTGGGGGTGTCGTCCGGTTCCTACGGCAAGGGCGGCCCCGCCCCCTCGCGCGGTGGGCAGGGCCTCACCCCTCCCCCGCCCAGCGGGGGTGCGCGGACAGCCCACCCCCCACGCCCCCCACGGAGCCCCGGCGGCTGCCTGCCTCACCAGGCGCGCGGCCTCGGCCCACGTGCGCTCCTTCTTCCTCTTCTGTTTGTCCTTCATCCTCCTCCTCCTCCCCGGCGGCGGCGGCTCCACGCGGGACCTCCGGGCGGGGCGGGCTGGGGCGGCGGCGGCGCGGGGCTGGGCCGGCGGCGGCGGCGGGGGGCGCGTGGCGGCGGCGGCGGCGGCGCGCGAGGACTCGGGTGCGGCCGGGGAGACGGAGCTGGTGCTTGGGGACCGGCTGGCGCGAGACCCGGCGCGAGGGCGGCGGTGGGGGAGGGGCGGCGGCGGCTCCACGCGCCCGCGCTGCGTCAGTCACCCACGGCGGCGGCGGCAACAGCCCCGCGATCGCTAAGGAATGCGGCGGCTCCGCATAACCACGGGGTCAGAGGTCACGGCTCCGGCCTCCGGTTTCCCGCTCTGCTGAGGGACGGAGACAGGACTGGCGGCGGGGCGGGATGGCGCGGCGCGGCTTTCTCTTCGGCGCCCGGGTGCGTGCGTGTCCGCCGTGGGTGTGTGAGAGTGTGTGTGAAGAGTGAGGAGGGGGAGTGTGGGGTTTTTTTTTTTTGAACAAAAACAAACCGAAAGGGCGGCTGGGAGTCGTAGTCCCGGCAGCCTCCCTGGCCTCCCCCGCTCCGGAAGGGTATGGCTGCGCGAAGGCCTCGGACCACAGTTCCCGGCATGCCCCGAGGCCATCTTTTCCGCCCTCCCCCTTCCGTCCCCCGCTTCGCGCAGAGCTCGGTAAGCAACGGGGGGGCGGGGGAGCCGAGCAGTCGTTCGGGGAAGGGACTGGGCGGAGTCTCGCGAGGTGCGGGAACTGGCTGGGCCCCGAGGGATTCTGGGAGGTGATGCTGGGAAGGGGCGGTGGCTGGTCGCCCCCTACCACGCTTAACCCGTTCGGCGCTTTTCGCGGTGGGGCCGGCGAGCCGGTGAGGGTGGGGACCGAGGGCCGGCAGCTCCCGCTCACCCACATTTCTCGTAGGTGACGAGAGGCAGGACTTTCCCTTTTGGTCCGCCCCTAAATGACTCAGAGCCGCATAATAATGAGAAAAGACACTCATAGCGGTGAAACGGTTGCCCCAGGATTGGCGGGCCCAGCCAGGTGTCCGTTTCCTGCCGGGCTTCCGCGCCGCTGTCGGCGGGGGCCGCACCCACAGCGCAGAGCGCCAGGTGCTGGACGCCGGGACCTCGCTGACCGGTAGGCGCCTGAGTGGCCTTTTTAGAGGCAGTAAGTACCCTGGAGAGAGCTCAGGGCCTGCGGCCCGGCGAGGGGCTCCGCCTCCCCGAGCCTGAGTTTTCTGATTTGCATTAGTCTAGTATCTCACAGCGTCAGTGGGAGTAAAGTGAACGTAAAACACCTGGGAGATGGCAGGGGGGCCTTCACATCGTTGGGTCCATGTGATTTGGCTCCTGGCTAGCACCGAGCAAATGTTCAATAAATGGCAGCTGTGCCTACCAACCGAGCGGCTGCGGGCCGAGTACCAGCCTCACTGAGCCTGGGCGCGATGAGCTGCAGCGCTCTGCGGCACACAGGCTCTCTGTGGTTATTTGTTTACCAGTGTCCAGCTGCTTTTCTTGAATCAGTTCTGAATTGAATTAATGGCCAGCTCTTTAAAAGAAGACTTGTGAAAGCAAGGTGGGCGCTGCCTTTGAAAAGTGTTTCTGGCTGAGGAAACACACCCTCCACTCTGTCCTGTTGGCCGGCGGGAGAGGGCCAGGGCTGGCGGGAGACCGTGACCATGCAGCCCTCCCGCTAACCCCGAGGGCTACAGTGGTCCTGCCCTAACACTGGCCACACAGAAGCCTCTCAGTGGCCAGCAAACAGGGCCCTGCGAGTGAGCAGAGAGTAGAAGAAGCAATAAGGCACTGTTATTTTGAGGATTTTTTTTTAATTTATTTGAAAGAATTCACAGAGAAGGGGTAGAGCCTTCCACTTGCTGGTTCACTCCCTAAGTGGCTGCAACAGCTGGGGCTGGGCCTGGGCCAAGCCAGAAGCCTGGAATTCCATCCCACTCTGCTATTTTCTGCTGCTTTCCCAGGTGTGTTTGTAGGGGGCTGGATTGGAAGTGGAGCAGCTGGGAGCCAGAACGGTCCCCACGTGGGATGCTGGAGGCGCAGGCAGTGGGTTACCCCGCTACGCCACGACACAGGCCCCAAATGCTTTAGATCTTCTAACTTCACCTCATGAGGGAGGGAGAAGGAACAGCCCTCCCCTCCAAACCACCTGACTCAATTTTGTACCAAGGCTGTTTCGATTCACAGTTGACAAAGTAGTCTAAGACAAGTCATTTGGCCTGTTTCAAACGTCTGGTTTTTGGTTTTTTTAAGATGGGCAGAGAGTGCACTCTCATCTGCTGGTTCATTTCCAAAACGCTGACAACAGCCAGGACTGGGCCAGGCCAAAGCCCCGAGCTGAGAACTTGGTCTGTATTCCCCAGGTTCTTGAGCCAACCTGCTGCCTCCCAGGCTGCACGTCAGCAGGGACTGGACTCTGAGGTAGAGCTGACTAACTGAACTCAGGCCTTCCCGTGTGTGACGCAGCTGACCACTGAACGCAGGCCTTCCTGTGTGGGACGCAGCTGACCACTGAACGCAGGCCTTCCGGTGTGGGACGCGGCTGACCACTGAACGCAGGCCTTCCGGTGTGGGACAGGGCTGACCACTGAACACAGGCCTTCCCGTATGGGACGCGGGCCTCCTGACAGGAGTCTTAACTCCTGGGCCAGAGGCCTGCCCCTCAAGTGTCATAGAGCAGCTTCCTGCCCCTCTGACTTCCAAGGAGTAAGTAAAGAAGATTCACTCTAAGATATGCAGACTTCGTATAGGCACTGTGGTGGGCAGATAGTGTTCTCTTGCCTCCTCAGCATCCAAGCCCTGCTCCCTGGAACCTGGGGACCCATTCTATTCCATGGCAGAGGGGACTCTGCCGATGAATTCAGGATCTTAAAATAGGGCCCAGTTTAATCACAGGATCCTTAAAAGCAGAAGAGGAAGGCAGAAGTTTGACAGGAACTCAATCCACTGTTGCTGGTTTCTTGTTTTTCCAAAAAAAAAAAAAAAAAAAAAGGATTTACTTGCAAGAGAGAGAGAGGAGGAGACAGAAAGAAAGAGATCTTGCATCTGCGGGCTCCCTCCCCAGATGGCTGAACCAGCCAGAGCTGGGCCACGTGAAGCCAGGGGCCAAGAGCTTCTCGGTGCTACAGGGGAATGGAGACAACGGAATTCTGGCAACCTGAATGCGTGAGGAAGCAGATTTTGCCCCCAGAGTCTCCAAGAAAGAACGCAGACACCTGGATTTCAGCCCTGTGGCGCTCAGAGCTGAGGGCCAGCCGGCCACACTGCACACAGGAAGTGTGAGGTACAAAGGAATGTTGTGTTAAGTCCCTAAATCTATGACAACTTCTCAGAGCAGCAGCAAGCTGCTGTCGCACTGTGGAAATGCCTTTCTTTCAGCAAAGCCGGCCTGGCTCTCACCGTTTGGTCAATCCATGGGGAAATCCAGACGAGAATATTTTAAAGTCTCTGCCCTTGCAGAGTCAAACAGAAACTAATGACATCTTAGCTGAGTGCAAAGAGCACGCTCCGAGAACTGTAGAAGATGTCTGTTAAAAGCTGGCGTTAGTCCTTAAATCTTAAAAGTTGTGCTTCTAAGTTAATGAGAGTCATGAGTTCATTTTCTTGCCAGAAGCACCAGAACACAGACCTGTATATTTTTTGGTGTGTATTTCTCTGTTCTTATCACAGTGCTTTTATTACAGATATCTTGGGAAATCAACACAGGTGCCATGGGGCACTGTAAGATAAACAGGGCTGATACTGAGCCCTACCCAGTTGGGGATGAATCACTGTTTTCAAACTTCAGTTATGAGCAAAGCAGACGTTCAGGAATCCAAGCAACATAACACACTGCCAGCAGACACCCAAAATGACACAAACCCCTCAAACCTCACCATGAAATAACACATCACTACAGACTTTGGACTCCGGCATACCTGGGTTTGAATCTCTGCAGTCTTTCTCCGGCTGTGTGGCCCTCAGCAAGTTATGAAAACAACCATTGACTCAGTGCCAGCATTTGGGCCACAGGGTACACAGCAAGTTCAAAGGATGGCAATGGGAGTACATGGGATCTTTGTAAAGTACCTAGCACACAGTAGACACTCATTAAACACCAGCTCTCTTGGCCTATGAGAAGTCTGTGTCCAAAGTATAAAAAGTACTTTATTTTTCACTTCAGTGAACCAAGCCCTGGAGGAAACTTTGCCACTCTTTTGTTTTTAAGGATTTTTAAATTTATTTTGACAGAGTTACAGAGAGAGGGAAAACAGGAGGGAGAGATTGGTCTTTCAACTGCTGGTTCCCTCCTTAAATGGCCACTGTGGCCCTCGGCTGGGCCAGGCTGAAGCCAGGCGGTTCATCTGGTTCTTCCATGTGCATGGCAAGGGCACAAGCACTTGGGCCATCTTATACTGCTTTCCCAGGTGCATTAGCAGGGAGCTGGATCAGAAATAGAGCAACCAGGACTTGAACCAGCCCCAGTTTGGGATGCTGGTGATACAGGCGGCAGCTTAACCCACTACACCACAATGCTGGCCCCATGGGTTTTTTGCACTGTATTCCTTTTTTTGTTTGTTTTTAAGACTGGTCCCCCTCAAGGAAGAGGGAATTTTAAATATTTTTGTTGTATTTGAAAGACAACCAGAGAGAGATCTTCTATTTGCTGGTTTTTCACTCCCAAAATGCCCATAATAGCCAGGGCTGGGCCAGGTTGAAGCCAGAAGCCTCATCTGGGTCTCCCACGTTGGTGGCAGGGGCCCAAGCACTTGAGCCATCTTCTGCTTTCCCAGGTGCATTAGCAGGGAGCTGCATGGGAAGTGGAGCAGCCAGGACTTGAACTGCCATCTTCTGCTTTCCCAGGTGCATTAGCAGGGAGCTGCATGGGAAGTGGAGCAGCCAGGACTTGAACTGTTGCCCTTAGGGGATGCTGGTGCATTGGCTTAATCCTTTGTGCCACAATGCTGGCCCCCAGGCCTTAACTCTTGACTATCACAGCCACTGGGCAAGATGAGGAAGATAAATGAGAGGGCCAGTAATATGCAGACACTTCAATTACAGAGCTGTTGCTGGAGTCAACGTTTAAACCCAAAACCCCTTGTGCCAAAGTCCCTCCAAGGCATTGTGGCAGCTGTCTCCAAAATGGCACCCCATGATTCCTGCCTCCTGACAAGTCACATCCTTTTTAGTCTCCTCCCACTGTGGATAGGGCTAAACTGCATTACCAATAGGATGTATAGAAATGACCATGTGTGGCTTGAGGATAGGTCAGAAAAGACACTGCAGGCTGGTGCCGCGGCTCACTAGGCTAATCCTCTGCCTGTGGCGCCAGCATCCTGGGTTCTAGTCCCAGTTGCTCCTCTTCCAGTCCGGCTCTCTGCTGTGGCCTGGGCAGGCAGTGGAGGATGGCCCAAGTGCTTGGGCCCTGCACCCACATGGGAGACCAGGAAGGAAGCACCTGGCTCCTGGCTTCGGATCGGCGCAGTGCGCTGGCTTCAACGTGCTGGCCATAGCGGCCATTTTGGGGATGAACCAACGGAAAAGGAAGACCTTTCTCTTTCTCACTGTCTAACTCTGCCTGTCAAATTAATAAATAAGAAAAGACACTGCAGAGGGCTAGTGTTGTGGCACAGTGGCTTGAGCCATCCCGTGTGAGAGCGCTGGCTCAAGCCCCAGCTGCCCCGCTTCCCATCCCGCTCCCTGCTGATGTGCCTGGGAAAACAGCAGAACATCTCGGGTCCCTGCCACTGACTTGGGAAACTTGGATGGAAACCCTGGCTGTTGTGGGCATTTGGGGAGTGAACCAATGAATGGAGGCTCTTTCTCCTTCTTTGTCTTGTCCTCTCTTTTTCTAACTTTCTGATAAATAAATCTTAGAAATAGCAGGCCAGTGCTGTGACGTAGCAGGTAAAGCTGCCGCCTGCGGTGCCAGCTTCCCATATGGGCACCGGTTCGAGTTCCAGATGCTCCATTTCTAATCCAGCTCTCTGCTCTGGGCTGGGACAGCAGTAGAAGACAGTCCAAATCCTTGGGCCCTTGCACCTGCATGGGAGACCCGGAGAAGGCTCCTGGCTTCGGATCAGTGCAGCTCCAGCCATTGCAGCCAGTTAGAGTAAACCAGTGGATGAAACACCTCCCTCCCTCCCCCCCTTCTCTCTTTGTGTAACTGTGACTTTCAAGTAAATAAATAAATCTTAGAGGACACTGTAGCCATACCTTGTTCTCGGGTCACAAGCTCTGGGGGAAGCCAGCCACTGTGCTCAGGCCGCCTTATGTGTGCATGCGTGACAGTAGCCACAGCCTTCAGATCACGTCAGCCTTGGCCAACATCTTGACTGCAACCGGATGAAAGACCCAGAGCCAGAACCCCCAGATAAGCTGGATTCCAGACCCACAGGAATGCTGGGATAATCAATGTTTTAAGTCACTGGGTTTTGAAAGGATTTCTTAACACAGCAATTGATTAGAGACATAATGCCTGCCTTCTGGGTGATTTTTACCTTGTGTGGCGTCTGTTAAGCAGCAATGGGCCCCTTTCTAGGAGACTTAACACCCAGTTCTATGAAACGTTTCATTTTGTTTCCAGCCCCTCAGAAGCCAATTCCTAGAAACCCTAGTGGCTGTTAGTAGTACTCCTTTTTTTCTGAGGCCTAGAGAAGTAAACCGCTTGTCCCAGTTTGCAGAGTTCATGTATGCCAAAGCTAGAATTCAAACCCCACCAGCCCAGCCTTGCAGAGCTCACCCTCTGCCGCCCCGCTGTTCTGCCCCCCGGGAAGTGCACAGTCAGAGCCTCTGCTCTCAGTACCCCTTCATCTGCCTTCTCCTTCTACCCCTTTAATTGTGATGTTGCATTTCTCTGATCTTTTAACTGCAGTTCCTAAGGGACCCATTGTGTCACGAAGATACGACCACTGACTCTAATGGGAACAAATAGCTACACACATTTTTAAGACCTATAATCTTCAAGCTTTTTGTACACGAAGCAACAATAAACTCTGAGAAGGCAGACTTCATAGAGGAGGTGATACTTTAGCTGGGCCTCAAAAGCCTGAAGAAACAGGAGTGGCTCAAGGAATTCTGGGTAGCAGCAACAGCTGAGTACGACGTGGGCAGCCTTGATGTGTGTTTGAGGTGCAAGTATGCAGCTGGTGTTATGGCATGGCAGGTGAAGCTGCTGCTTGTGGTGCTGGCACCCCATATGGGCACTGGTTCTAGTCCCAGCTGCTCCACTTCTGATCCAGGTCCCTGCTAATGCACCTGGGAAACCAGCAGAAGATGGCCCAAAGCCCTTGGGTCCCTGCAGCCACATGGGCAAACTGGAAGAAGCTCCTGGCTCCTGGTTTTGGCCCAGCCCAGCTTCAGCTGTTGGCAGCCATTTTGGAGAGTGAACCAGCAGATGGAGGATCTCTCTGCTTCTTCCTCCCTCCCTCCCTAACTCTGCTTTTCAAATAAATAAATAAATCTTTAAAAACAAAATGCAAGTATGTTCAGTTGGGAAGAAGCCAACAGTCCAGTGGGGCTGCAGCAGGAAACAAAGTTGGAGGGTGGGCCAGGTGGATCCTCAGCTAAGGAGCAAGGAATGCCTCCTGCAACCAAGAGTAAACAGAGCTCTGATTTAAGCTTAGATATTGGCTCTTACTCAACCCTGTGGCCCCAGACCCAACAGAATAGGGGCCGGTGCAGAGCAGGTGTTCATCAGTATTTGCGAAATGGATTCATTCAAGTAGGACCGGGTGCTGAGGCTGGTCTGCAAAGTGGGAGGGAGAGCAGGAAGGGACTACAGAACTGCCTGATGCCTCCTGGATGCCATTTCTTCAGCAAGGGTTTCCTGATGTGCTCACACCTCCACAGTACCCACTGCTGCTTTCAAAATGTAACGAGGAAAAATGCAACGTTGGTGATGACGTTGCTGTCTGCTCCCAGTTACACTGTCAGCCAGGTGAGGTCCAGTATTGCTAGTTTATTCACTGGCCTGCTGGGATGCAGGCCCGGTGCCGTGCCCAGTTCTACACAGTCCTTGTGTTATGTGGATGGATTACAAGTGATAGAGCCAATGCAGTAGCACCCTAGTAGGGAGAAAGCTGGGGCACTGTCAGAGCTGAGACGGATGTCTCGAAGCTGGCCCTGCAGAGGGGAGAGAATATTCTCAACCCAGCAGTTATAGTTAGTTTGGATGCAAAATCACTGTTCAAAACTAACATTTTATGTTCTAATAATAATCTCATTAGAAAATAATGCTGGTTGGGGTCAGCATGGTGCAGTGTGTAAAGCCTCTGCTTGTGATGCCGCATCCTATATTAGACACCAGTTTGAGTCCCGACTGCTGCACTTCAGATCCAGCTCCCTGCTATTGTGCCTGGGAAGCAGCTGAAGATGGCCCTAGTGCTTGGGCCCCTGTATCAGGACAAGGGAGACTCAGAAGAAGCTCCTGGCTCCTGGCTTCTGGCTTTGGCCTGACCCAGTCCCAGCCATTGAAGCCACTTGGGGAGTGAACCAGTGGATGGATGATCAATCTCTGTCTCTCCCTTTCCCTCTGTATTACTCTGCCTTTCAAGTAAATAAATCTTTTAAAAGAAAATAATGCTAGAGTTGGGGTGTTTTGTGCAGCTGTTACGACACTGCTTGGGACTCCTGCATCCCACATCAGAGTGCCTAGTTTGAGTGCCAGCTCCTTTGCTTCTGATCTGGCTTCCTGCTAATGCTCACCCTAGGAGGCAGCAGGTGGTGGTTCAAGTCCTGGAGTCCCTGCCACCCCGGTGGGACACCTAAATTGAGTTCCATGCTAGTAGCTTCAGCCTGGCCCAGCCCCAGCCACTGTGGTCATTTGAGGAGTGAACCAGCAGGTGGAAGATCTCTATAAAATAAAATAAAAATAAACAAAAATTTTCAAACAAAAAAGAAATAATGGCAGATAAAGGATACCATTCACAAGAGCCATAAAAATAATGCACCACCTGGAAATAAGTTAACCTAAAATGTCCAGGTTTTATAAGACGAAGAGTAAAACCACTGGGGAATGTGAAGTCTTGGACCAGTGGAGGTCAGGGCTTGCCTGTAACCTGGGTGTTAATTAGCCCCCAAGCAAATGTCACCTCAGTAAAGATCGCAGGGGGATTCGATGACAAAATGATCCTAAAGTTCAACTGGAAAAACAGACATATCGTTTTCAGGACAAGGATCTGCTGTTTCCTGACACAGCGGGGGCCAGGCCCCAGCTGGAGCACTTGCTACTCATCACATCCTCTTCAGTAAACACTGTTGCTACCGGCGCCATGCAGATGAGGAAGCAGAGCTCCACAGCTCGCAGTGGCTGAGCCCAAGCCCCGAGAATTTAACCAGCCTGCTCTCCTGCCAAGGAAAGTCTGAGGACGATTAGCGGGCTGAGACTTGGTGTACCAGATGTTCCAATGCATTAGGTTGCTACAACAACTAAAGCAGTACAATTTCAGTGAAGGAGCAGACAAACCTATTAAACCAAACAGCGCGCAGAAATAAGAGCCAGGTGTATAAGGAACCGTGGTGCATGATAAGGGTGACATTTCAGATTGGTGGAGAAAAGGTAGAAGTCAATAAACAAAACGGGTCTAGCGTCTGGAGAAAAATTAAGCTGGAACTCTAGTTCCCTCATTAAGTAAATTCCATCTAGCTTAAAGATTTACATGTGCCAAAGAAACAGTAAAAGTGTGAGAAGAAAAAACAAGTGAATGATTTTATAATCCTGGAACTAGAAGTCTTTTGTATGGAAGTTAAAAAATATCCCTCAAGTAAATCAATAGCTTTGACTACATAAAATTAAAAATTCACATGTGGCGATAAAATACCACACACAAGGTTGAAGACGAACAATAAAGAGGGAGGAAATATTTGTCACATGTAGAATAAAGGGCTGTTTTTGTTTGCTTTAAAAATTTCTTTATTTGAAAGGCAGAGGTACAGAGAAGAAGAGACAGCGAAATCTTCCATCCACTGGTTCACCCACAAATAGCCACAATGCCTAGCCAAGCGTATTAGCACGGAGCTGGAGTGGAAGTGGAGCAGCTGGGAGGCACCTAATGGGAGGCGGCGGCACTGGTGGCTGCTTAGCCTGTTATGCTCACGGCACCAGCCCGACAAAGTACTTATTAATGAAGAGTTCTTAAAGTCATAGGAGGCTGGCACCGCAGCTCAATAGGCTAATCCTCTGCCTTGCGGCGCCGGCACACCGGGTTCTAGTCTCGGTCGGGGCGCCGGATTCTGTCCTGGTTGCTCCTCTTCTTGTCCAGCTCTCTGCTGTGGCCCAGGAAGGCAGTGGAGGATGGCCCAAGTCCTTGGTCCTGCACCTGCATGGGAGACCAGGAGAAGCACCTGGCTCTTGGCTTCGGCCGCAGTGGCCACTGGGGGGTGAACCAATGGAAAAGGAAGACCTCCCTCTCTCTCTCGACCTCTCTCTCACTGTCCACTCTGCCTGTCAAAAAAAATTAATAAATAAAAAATAAAGTCATAGGAAACACCTGGAACAGTCAAATAGCAATGGCCCAAACAAGCTATCAACAAAAGATACAAACGAAAACTAAATATTTGAAAAGATTTTCTGGGAAACTACAGACAAAACCAAAATTGACATACCATTTCCCAATAGAGCAGACTGGCAAAGTTTAAAAGATTGCCAGAATTCAGTTTTAGCAAGGACACAGGGAAATGGGCACAAGCTACATACTGTTAAGAGTGCAAACTCACACAGTTGTTCGGGGAGGCAGACTAGCAAAAGTGACACAACTGTGCTTGCTCTAAGTGAATCAGGATTTGGACACAAGAAAACACTTTGATCTAGTAATTCACTTACAGTGATTTATCCCAGTGAGGAAACAAGTGAACCATGACCTGTGTCTGAGACTGCATAATATGCCATTGAATAAAATAGTAAAAATCTGGAAATCACTCTTCAATGACCAAAAAGAACATTAAATCAACCATGGCACCTTACAGTACAAAACTAAGCAGCCATGGGACTGGCACTGTGGCGTACTGGCTAAGCCTCCACCTGTGGCGCCAGCATCCCATATGGGTGCCAGTTCACGTCCCAGCTGCTCCTCTTCCAATCTGACTTTCTACTGATGGCCTGGGAAGGCAGATGAAGATGGCCCAAGTGCTTGGGCTCCTGAACCCACATGGGAGACTTGGAAGAAGCTGTAGCCATATTGTGGCCATTTGGGGAATGAACCAGCAGATGGAAGACCTTTCTCTCTTTCTCTCCTTCTCTCTACCTGTAACTCTCCTTCTCAAAGTAAATAAATACATCTTAAAAACAAAGACTAAAAAACCATTAAAAAGAATATGAATTTCTATATATTAACTGGATATACGTCTATAATAAGTGAAAACAGGACAGTAGATACTATGAGCCTATATTGCAAGCTGAAAGTTTGTGCCAAGAGATATCTAAATATTATCATTAGCTCTGGGAAATGGAGTTTCAGTGACCTGTAATTCTTTAAATGCTTGAATTTTTCACCATGAAAACATAGTTTTTATAATCAGAACATTCAATAAACTTACTGCATTATGATTTTAAAATACTGTAGCACTTAAAACCTATACAGTCCAGAAACTCCACATTATCACAGTCATTCCCAACCTCAATCGTACAAGGGAGGTGTTTTTTTTAAGATTTATTCATCTATTTGAAAGGCAGAGAGAGAGAGAGAAAGAGAATCTTCCATCCACTGGTTCACTAAATGGCCGCAATGACCAGAGTTGGGCTGGTTCGAAGCCAAGAGCCAGAAGCTTCTTCCAGGTCTCCCACATGGGTGTAGGGACCCAGGTACCTGGGCACCCTCTGCTGCCCTCCCAGGCACATTAGCAGGGAACTAGGTCGGAACTGGTGCCCATATAGGATGCTGGCACCGCAGACACCAGCTTTACCTGCTATGCCACAGCACCAGCCCCTAGGGAGGTATTATTCATCTGTTTTTCAGGTGAGGTATTATCTGTTTTTCAGAAAGGTTAAGCAGCTTACACGGGCTCTGTCAGGATTTGAACACAGGTCTGACTAATACAGAGCTCTTTCCATGATGATACCAACACTAATACTGATACTAATAACACTGCTATTAAGATTTAACAATAATGCCTCTTATGATGCCTATTAGGCTCCAGGCCCTTGACGGATGTTTCCCTAATTCTTTCAGCAACTCTACAGGGTCAGTATCAATCCTCCCACAGAGGTGAACAGCTCGCCCCTGGGTGGTAAGTGCAAACCCAAGTTATCAGGGTTCAAACCCCTTGCTCCTTCTGCAGCCTTCTGCTGAGCTAGCAGCACACTGTCTTCAATTGGAGGCGTTTTTTGTGCTGAGGTCTTCGCTCCTCTGCACATCCTTACATCTGCAGCTTGCAGCTCTCTGGTTTGATTGCAGAGCTTAGACACAGAGGATGCATTTAACCATGGCGCAGATGTTTGTTTTTACCACATAGTAGTTAAACAAGAATGTTGTGTAGCC